CTCTTTGCTTTTTCTCTGTCCTGGAAGGGAAACTCTGGAAGGGTAAGGAGGTGCCGTGCTGCGCACCTACTGCCCCCGCACGGTCACACTAACAGCGTGTCCTCTCACAGAGTGCTCTGCCTGCCCCACACGCCTAACCCCCACCTCGGGGAGGGAGAGCCCTCAACCCGAAGCATCTCTTGGAGCGGGGCGGGGAGGGGGTGTGCTTCTCCACTTGGTCCAGCCTTCCCCACCCTGCTGCCCATGCAGGAGGCGCACGCAGGGCTCTGCACGGCACGGGGAGCCTGTCCTCACCCCCAGGCAGCAACCAGGGTGCCCAAGCACTGTGGGACATGCGGGACCCCACAGCTGCTTCAGGCACCCAACCCCTGCCCTCCCCACCAGCATCGTTAGCCAGCCGAGCATCCATCATTAGGCCGAGCATCAGCATGGGGAGAAGGTCCCAGGTCCCACGCGTTGCACAGCAGCCCTGGAAACGATAATTCGGACTAACCAGGCTCTGGCCGCAAGGCCGGTCCCTTTGACCAGCTGGAGGAGATGGGCTTCCCCACAGCATGGTGCTGCCTGTGCAGACGAGGGGCAGCCGGCACGGGAGCGACACTAACCCTGTGTGAAGTAGGAGTGATAGTTTACTAACCGCACAGCGGTGGTTTGCACGGGGCGTACGGTCCCTCTCGCTGATCTCCTGCTGATCGCTTTGATAGGCAAACCTATCTTCAGGAAGGTCCAGGCTAGAGATCATCCTCTTCCTTGCACCGTGGTCACCATCCAAGGTACCCGCAGCGTGATGCCCGAGGGCCATGGCGGTCGAACACGGACTGACTGGGGTGTTTGCCTACTGATGGTTTAATTCCTTCTTCCAGTGAATCCAGCCCTTTTTAGCCCTGATGTCCTCATCCCTGGGGTGGACTGGAAGGGAGCTAAGTGGGGGTCTACGCAGGGACAGTGACAAAAGCCATGCTGCCTGGGTTTCCCGTGCCCCAAAGGTCCTTGGGTCCTTGGTCCTTGGTCCATGGAGGTGCAGACCTGCTCCATTGCTCTTGTAGTCTCGTCGTTGCCTCCTCTCTCGGGGTCTGGGGCCAGGCCATGCCCTGTGGATGGCTCCTCACACCTGTATGGCCCAGCATCATCTCCTCTGGCCCCACCATCGCAGCGGGAGTTTCATGCTCTCTGGCTGCCAGCCCCCCTCCCCAGGATAAAGCCCTGCTCAGAAGAAGGCAGAGCCAAGATTTCATACCCGTCTCAGTCCGGGGGCTGCCGGCAGCTCTCTCTGGCTGTAACAGCCTGGTGGAAAGGTCCTGACCATGCCCCAGTGCAGAGCTGGAGAGCTGGGAAATGGAGCAGCCTTAGCGGTGATGTGTGTACCCTGCCCCGCACCCCTGTGGGAGAGGCAGCAGTTACCAGGCAATGAGCTATTCCCCAGCCCTGAGGGTGATCCAGACTCCTTCCAAGGTTGGACAAGTTGCAGACCTCTTGCTAGTGTTTCCCAGCAAAACTGCCTTGCCTATTGCTCCATGACCTCCTCCTCCTCCTCCTTCTCAGCTGCTCTGTCGCTCACCCTCCCACCTGGAGGCTTCCTGATGGGAAGCCCACTCCAGCATGACCAGCTGGATCCGGCTCACCGATGGGCTCTTTGCTTTGCAGAGGAGAACGAAGAAAAGCAGCCACTGACCAGCAAGGAGGAGGAAGAGCGCCGAATCGCGGAGATGGGGCGCCCAGTCCTGGGGGAGCACACGAAGCTCGAAATCATCATTGAGGAGTCCTACGAGTTCAAGGTACTGTCCGCGTCCCCTGTCCCTGCTCTCTTTCCCCTCCAGCTGGGGACCCTCCTCTTGGGCTTGCACAGCGCTGGCAAGCACATGGCAATGGCGTCGCAGCAAGGGACACTTTCCAAGGCAGCTTAGCCAAGGCATGACAAAAGGGTGAGGGTCACTCTAGTGAGATGGCTCACTCCGTCCGTTAGCCCACAGCCGTGGTCCCCGGGGGATGATCCCAGACTTTCCATCCCACTCACAGGCTGTGGTTATCATTATACAAGCACATCAGTCTGGTGAGCTGGCTGGACTCCAAAATGCTGCAGGTTGCTTTTAAATATAACCTCGTTCTCACAGTGATGTGCTAACACCCGGGTCCTACTTACAGGCGGTCTGGAGCCCGGGACCCTCAGCACGAAAGGCTGATTCCTTAAATAGTTGTGAAGCTAAGGTGCTGTGAACGCACGTGCCAGACCAAGAGCTGAAAACTGGCCATTTCGCTCTCTTTTCCCTTTTTCCGTAGTATAAAAAAGTAACAGACCGCCCCTCACTATGTCACAACGGTGGCTGTGCTGTGGGAGGGAATTGCAAGTGCTTACATTTGCTTTCACTGCTGGGGCTCTTGACCTGAGCTTAAAATCTACTAAGCTTTCTCCATAAGTGCATGGCTGTAAGCGCGAGCGCCGGGGGGGTTTTAGCCCGGCACGGCCAAGCCCGATAGCCCCTAACTCTCTCCTCTGCCTCTCCATCCACAGAACACGGTGGACAAGCTCATTAAGAAGACGAACCTGGCCCTGGTGGTTGGCACAAACAGCTGGAGGGAGCAGTTTATTGAGGCTATTACTGTCAGCGCCGGTGAGTTTGGACCACAGTTCCCGGTGAATTATGATCCACCTCGCTCGTTGTCGAGGCTTGGCTGTGTCGGTAATGCGGACCGTAGCGGAGCAGCAGAAGGCAAAACAGGTGGCAGAGTTATTTACAGCGTCTGCATACATAAGGCAGCTGATTAAACCCTTTCGTGAGATCACCTTGGCTGATGTGTAGGCAACCTCCTGCATTAAGTGTTGTGCCCGTAGCACCGGGCAGAGAAACGCCCTGGCTGTTACCAGATGGCAAAGGGGGAGAAGGCATTTCGGTGAGAGAAGGCGGCATTTCAGTGAGGTGAACACAGCGTTTAAACTCACAGTGGCATAAAATGATGCTGGTGTGAAGCAGCAGTGCTGCCTGTCCCTGGGGCTGCCCGTACGGCTGTGGCAAGGACAGCACGGCAGCAAGGGTGCCAAGCCCTGAAGAAAGCCACCGAGCGCCCCTCTCTTGTGGGCCAAAATTTGCCCTCGGTGCCTTGCTTTCAGGAACTCCTGCTGCTCCAGCCAGCTGGGGCTGGAGGGTATGGCTCAGCAGCCCCATAGCTGCAGCAGCATGTGATATCTGTGGTCACATCTGATCTTATCTTCCCTCTCCTGGGAATTGCCTTTCCCTCAGAAAATGCCCTGTCGTACTGTTCTCACAGGTGCCGGCGCCACCGTTACCAATATGCCCAGTATAGGATATATTAGCATCCCCGTGTCTGTCGAAGATGAAGGAAAGGAGGTCTCCTCCAGATGTGGTTTTAACAGCTGGCGACACTATAACTCACTGGCTGGACGTTACCACCTCACAGCCCAGGCTGGGCTGCCTGTGTGCACGCATTAGGGCAAAATCGACCAACTTAAATTAAATCACTGGGGAAGGCAATTTGAGCTCATCTGTCTAATTGTGCATTGAAACGCATGGCGGAACACTCACGCTTCCTACCTCAAGCTCTGCCGTACAGGGTTACCTCCGCCCGGCACAAAGTAATTAAAAGTGATGGCTGTACCATTTATCCTCCGCCTCTGAAAACCAGGACAGGACATTGTGCAGCAGCTATCTCCTAAATTGCGATCCCTCCTCTTGTAGCGTAGTTATTCTTAGAGCCTCCAGCCAAGAGCCTGCCATTATTTCGGGTACAGCATGAACATATCATGCAAGACAACCCTTGCTGCAGGTTTTGTAGCTAATACGGCTAAACTAATCTATGCCAGAATCAATTATTTAATCACATCCCATATTAAAGCAAAGATAATCACTGGTACTGGGATCCCATCTCTGTGACACATGTAAGGACTGAAGTTATGTGGAAGCCCCGTTGCCACCATGTCTTGGATATACAGCCACCATCACCGCTAACAGGATGATGAACAAGCATTTAATAAATGTGCCATATTTCAGTGGACGTGAGCTGTCCCTTGCAGCTGGGGAACAGTAGTTGGTCTCTGAGCTCTGAACCTACCTTTTTTGCCAGGACTGAGCTCCTCAAGCTTTGTGCTAAGCCAGTTAAAATGCCTCAAACACTGGAGTTTGGGCTTGAGTTTTTCCCTGCAGTGCACCATGGGGAGCAGGTGAAAGTCACACATCCCCCTTTCAAAATGGAACGTCCCAGCTGAGAAAAGTAACCTTAAAACCCCATTTCCCACCCAACGAGCAGCTGATGGCGATGTTGTCGGGGAGGCTGAGTGATGGAGCAGCAGGAGGTCAGGTCTGTGGAAGGTGCAGGCAAGACTGTGCTGTGCTGTGCCATGCCATGCCGTGCGCGGGGCTGAGCTGGAGCCTCTCACCCATAGCTGCCTTCGGTGTACACCCAACAGGCCGTAAAGTTTCTTCCCCAGCAGAAACGTCCTTGGGGTTTGGGAGCCCATTTCGTAACGCACCCCTGGGTCACCATCCAACCTCAACGCCGTGTTTCAAGTCACCTTCACAGGATCCGGCCAGCTCTTCGTATTGCTGCTTAACGAAATGATAGACAGATCTGGATGAGTGCTATGACAGTGGCACTCATGTTCATTTTTCAGTCTGTTTTATCATCCCCGTAAAGATTTAGATCCATGACAGTCCTGCTGCCGTGCAGCTTGAGCGAGGATTAAAATACCTGCTGCAAAATTACGGTGCGAGCACAGCAGAGTGTATCCTGCCAGCACCAGCCTTTGTGCAACGGGTGAAAAAACAGGCCAGCCTAGGCTTCCCAGGCTGAAAAAAAATGTTCCTTACCTCTGCGACAATGCCTAGGAATAGGGTATTTATATCTGCCAAAATAATGCCATCATGCCACTGATTAGCTACTGTTTCTGCCATAGTGAGTTTGAAGCTTTAAATCCAAGCAACACATAATTTTCCATCGTTATTATCGAGACATCAAGTTTCCCACTGCCTCTTTCTTATGGGTTGGTCCTGATCTCCAAAGGTGCTTTGAAGACAAACAACGTGTGCAAGATTGCAGCCCAACAGGGTGCTGAGTAGGACTTTTCCCTGGGTGGTCATGCCTTTATTCAGCTGAATATTGAAAACCTCCAAAGATGATGTCTTTGCACCACCCTCCAGGAGGAGACCTTTCTCCATCCAAGCTGCAGTTTGCAGCCGTTGCCCCGTGTTGTATCACTTGTCAGCGCAGAGGGGAGTTCCTCTCCATCCTCTATGTACATAGCCTCCAACTCGCTGGAGACTGTTGCTTGGTCCCCTCCTACCTCCTCTCCTCCTGATTCACCAAGCCAGATCCTTCCACCTTTCCCCATAGGCAACATCCTCCAGGCTCCTATCATCTTGGTGGCACCACTGAATCCCCTCCAGCTTCACCCCAGCCCTCGTGTGGGATGCCATATCCCCTTTGTACAGCTGTCTGCATTAGAGGTTCCCTCCTGCCTTGCTTTCACTGGTTCCATCACCACCCTCTCCCTTAGAGCTGCATCTCAGCTGAGAGCCCCAAGGATGACGGCAGAGTGCTGGGCCACACCAAAAGCGGGTTGACTCCCCTTACAGGTTACCAGATCTCTTGAGGGTGCTCACAATCCAGGTGATCCCTGGGCCCTTCGCCTTTTCTTGTCCCTGTGCACTACCTGTGGGACCACAACGGGGAATAGCCAAGAGGTGAAACTTCAGTCCACAGGCTTTGGCCTCCACTTTCCCAGGAAGGGTGGCACGTCTTGATCCCCCCAGTTGGCTTTTCATCGCCACTTTTGCAGTGAGACGGAAAGAGCAAGCATCTCACCAGCAGCTTTCCCCAGTAACTCTGTTGTCATGGTACAGAGCCACCATTTGAACACGGGGTTAACTGGTACCCGTGTGTTGGCACACAGCGTACAGCGAGGCTGTTTTGTTCTCCCTGCAGGAGGCTTTGTAAATTTTCTTATTCAATCAAACATCTACGTTGTGGAGGAAGATGTGAAAGGAGGAATGCTGACCGCGGCCAGCAGTGGGGCAGATAAAAACAGCATGGTCTCATTCAAAAACTTGAGCCAGCCTGGTCGGTACTGCTTTTCCCAGGCACAGAGCCAACATCCCCTTAAACCCAGTGTCTGGTGAGATTGGACCTTGTCTCCTTGCCCACTGCAGAGGCTGAGGTTCCACTGGGTCCGCTTGGCTGCTCTAGGACTTGGCCCCTTTTTTCTGCTTTCCCGAGGTGTCCTCCTGGGACAGACTCGCTCATGCCATCTGATGGAGACAGACTGCACATTGTGTCCTCCCCTTGGTGAGGAGCTTCTGCCAACAGCTGTGCAGGGCGAGCTGGTGGTCCACATCCTTGGAGGGAAAAATACACATCAAAGACAATGACAAACCACCAACCCGAGTGCAAGGGATGCCTTTAACACAGCTTGCAATGGCCTTGGAATCCCTGATGTCCGTGACTTAGAAACCCATCCTTGTTCCTTGAGGGTGAAAGCAAGGCTCCCACTGATTTCGTTGGGAGAACGTCACCTCCCCTTCTTGTCTGTGACTTAGAAACCCATCCTTGTTCCTTGAGGGTGAAAGGAAGGCTCCCACTGATTTCGTTGCCCCAGGACATCAGGCAGGATGGGCACAAGGACTCGCATGCCCAACTTCCCGCCTGTGGTGGAGACCCAGGTCTTGCAGGTGCCGCAGGGACACAGCTGTGGGCCCTGCAAGGCATTAATGACAGATTGGTGAAAAGTGAAGTACTGCCCTGGATCTGAGACAGAAAATAAAGAGAAGAATCACAGAACCACAGAGTGGTTTGGGTTGGAAGGGACCTTGGAGATCATCTAGTTCCACCCCTCTGCCATGGGCAGGGACACCTCCCACTAGACTAGGTTGCTCCAAGCCTCATCCAACCTGGCCTTGAACACCTCCAGGGATGGGGCAGCCACAGCTTCTCTGGGTAACCTGGGCCACCACCTTCAGAGTGAAAAATCTCTTCCTGAAAGAAGAAAAGTGCATTTTTGCTGTGACAAATGATGCCCAACAGCCGGCTCATGGCCTGAGTTTCTCAACAGCTACCAGGAAGGAGTGCAAGTGGGAAAACAATTTCATGTGCTGACCTTGGTCAGGCCAGACCAAAAGGAAAGGGCAGACAGAGCTCATAGGGAGGCACGTGAAGGTGCAGGGACAGGCAACAGGGAAGGACAGTCAGCAATGATGGACCAGGGAGGTTTTAGGGCATATATTCTTCATGGCTGGATCCCAGCTTGTGGAAAAGGCGAAGCGCCAGTGCTTAGCACCTCAGCAGCCACCAAAACCAGACGTCTTTCTGGAGAGCTGGAAGCAATCGCAGGTGCTCGTGAGAAGCGGCTCAAAAAGAGCTTCCTTAGGGTAGTCTCCATGAGGCATGTGTTGCTCTTGGTGGGTTCACCCACCCTGGTTGGCTCCAGCCAGCGTGAGGCCAGTCGTTTCCCACATCTGCTGGGGAAAGGGCTCCTGAGCAGGGGCTGAGTCCCAGAAAACATGTGGTGGTTAAACCCAGGCAGAGGTGCTGGCGTGGGACTGCGTTTTCTGAAGTGCAGGTTGGTTTTCAAGACCGATGCCTTTGGACGGTCTCTGTGCTGTGGGAAGGAGACGGGAAAGGTCGTCGAGCCCTTATGATGATTGCCCAGAAAATAAAATATTTGGAAGTCAAGGCCTTCTGGGGCCCAAATCATGAGAGACGGCATTTGCGGGGGCTGCAGTATGCACAGGAGCTTCGCCTATCCTCCTGCAGGATGGGCAAGTCTAATCAGGCACTGTTGGTTTTCTCCAGGGGAAGACGATGATGACGATGAATGTGGGGAGGAGAAGCTGCCCTCCTGCTTTGACTACGTGATGCACTTTCTGACCGTCTTTTGGAAGGTCCTTTTTGCCTTTGTGCCCCCGACAGACTACTGGAATGGCTGGGCTTGCTTCGTCGTTTCCATCCTCATGATTGGCCTCCTGACAGCTTTCATCGGCGACCTGGCATCCCACTTTGGCTGCACCATCGGCTTGAAGGATTCGGTCACTGCGGTGGTGTTTGTTGCACTGGGGACATCGGTGCCAGGTAAGGACAACAGCAGGGTTTGTTGTAAAGGTCCATGTCTGCCCAGTCTGGGTTGGGGTTTGGGCTGGGAAAGCTGCGCACAACAAGGTCCTCAGCTGTGCTCTGCAGGACACTCGAGGACAGATTTGAGGTGCATGCGGAAGCTGTTTTTCAGTCTCAGGCGGTCCGGGAGGATCGAACAAGGATGTGGATTCAGTCCCCTGGGAAGTATTTCAAGGACCTTCCCCTTGCAAAGACTGTGAAGTATCTATTTCTGTGGACAGCCTCCATGGCATCCCACTCTTAGAGCAGGAAATGGGTCTTTGATGAACATGCTGTCTCTGTTGGCAGTCCTGCATTTTCTTTCTGAGCACCTGCTCCTTTAGCTTTGTCTCCCAGGTGAGTTAGGTGCTAGTCCATGCGCGGGGTGCTCCGCCCAGCGTGGACACCGTTGTGCGAGATTAAGTTTGGCTTTGGTTCAAATGGATCGAGGTGAGGTTGCTGAGCTGGGGAAGCTACTCAAAAGGTGACTTGTGAAACCTCTAGAAGGCCCCAGCCCCACAAATGTTTGGAGACGTGTCTCTGATCAAGTGGTCATCCAGCCTCAGAAGACAGCAGAGACCGAGGACTGACCAGAGAGAGAAAAAACCCACATGTTTCCATACCTACGTGCCACTTTATCCTCCCAATGCACATTGACTTGCTGCAACCCAACCTCCTTTTCTGCTGGCTCAGCAAAGGGATGAACCAGTGCGCTGGGAAGGAGATGGGAAAGGTCATCGAGCCCTTATGATGATTGACCAGAAAATAAAATATTTGGAAGTCAAGGCCTTCTGGGGCCCAAATCATGAGAGACGGCATTTGGGGGGGGCTGCAGTATGCACAGGAGCTTCGCAGGATCCTCCTATCCTATCCTTCGCCTATCCTCCTGCAGGATGGGCAAGTCTAATCAGGCAGGATGTTCCCAGTGACATGGTTGCTCTGGGAAGTCCCACGTCAGCTTGTGTGAGAGGGCCTGTGCCTTTCACTCACCCTCTTCCATGGGCTGGTTCCCAGTCAAGGGGCTCTAACCCAACCCCACCACGCCCCCGTGTCAGTCATACTTTCCCTCGCCACCCTCAGACTTCCAGTGATCAGCACTCAGGTGCTTGAAGATCTTGAAATTGTCATGATGCTATCAAAGCTGCAAAAAAGAAGCAGTAGAACCAAAAGGAAGAACAGATTTGGGCAAGGAACAGAAGAAGGAGCATTTTTTTGGACCTCTGTGGCACTTTCAGGCATGAGGTTTGTAGGGCTGTCTCACACCCTTGACAGCGAAAATCTTCCCTCCTGCTCTTGTCGACAAAAGGTGGCATTTAAGAAGTTGTTTTTAGGATATATTTGGCTCCTCTTGTTTGAACTAGCAGATGCTCTCAGACCGCCTCATGTCATCTGAGTGCTCACTGGTCTTGGTGCCAGGCTGTGCTTTGCCATCTCACCTTGGAGAACCCTCTGGGACGGAGCATAAAGGAAACTCCGTAGAATTGAAAAACATGAAATCTGACCTCACGGCTTTCTTTTTCTGAGCCATGCTCCGCTGCCTGTACCCAAGGTGATCTGGGAGCACAGATGTGTTAAGGATTCATCTTCTCATGAGCTGAGAGTGCTCCCCTGGACAAAACCCAGATGCTAATCCCTCCTCTGGTTCACACACACACTCACCCCCCCGCAGATCCAGAGTGGGTTTGGATGTAAAATCAGCACTTCCCTATGGTGCAGAGCGGCGGTGTGCTGGTCTACTCGACACATGATCTGCCGTGTAAAAGGCCAGCCGAATTTTATCACAGCTCTCTTGCCACTGGTATTAAAGCTGGTGGAGCACCCGGGCAAGCGTACAGCTGCCCGCATGGGTTTTCTCCCTCAGGGGTGAAAGATGACCACTTGTTTACCAAAGTGTCGGGGTCTGCACAAGGTGCCGAACTTCAGTGAGACAAACATATTTTTTTTTTGGAGAGACATCATTAAAGCAAACACAGAAACACGAATACAAAACTTCAGGGGACCTGAAGGATAGACACAAACCACTGTGGCTCCCACAAAGCTTTTCTAACCTTTTCAGTTCTTTTGCAAGCCAACAAATCAGTGGCTGTGGGAGAAGAGGCCAACACAGTGGAGTACTGGGAAGCATTGTCTCTTGCTTGAAGCACTGGGGGACCTTCTGTGGCCATGCTGGTGGAAGCCCCATATTTTGGGACATTAAGATCTCCCTCCTGGGCATTTCTAGACTCTGGTTGTCACTCTGGCTCGGGCCAGATGTGCCCTCCCATGGGAGTGCCCATAGCTGGGGCTGTACCCTGTCCCCTCACCCGCTATCATCATTCCCCAAGTGATGCCATTGACATTGGTCCCCAAGCTGCCTGCCGCTGTCCCTCCTTTCCTGGCTGTTTCCTGAGGGTTTCTCTCCACCTTCCCTTTGCAGACACGTTTGCCAGCAAAGTAGCAGCGACGCAGGACCAGTACGCGGACGCCTCCATCGGGAACGTCACCGGGAGCAATGCCGTGAACGTTTTCCTGGGCATCGGGGTGGCCTGGTCCATCGCGGCCATCTACCACGCGGCGCACGGACAAGCCTTCCAAGTCTCCCCCGGCACCTTGGCCTTCTCCGTCACCCTCTTCACCATTTTTGCTTTTATCAGTGTGGGCGTGCTGCTCTACCGGCGGAGACCCGAGATTGGAGGTGAGCTGGGCGGGCCGCGGACTTCCAAGCTGCTCACATCCTCACTCTTTATCCTCCTCTGGCTCTTGTACATATTCTTCTCATCTCTGGAAGCCTACTGCCACATAAAGGGCTTCTAAAGGGACAATCAGAGATAGTAAATATATATATATATCTATATGTATCTATATAGAGTGATATATAGGTATAGATATAGATATAACGCTGTGTATAATGAACAGAGAAAGAATAAAAGAGATTTTGCCATGTTCACACACCTGCTGATGGAAAGCGGCTTTGGAGCATCCTTTGAATGAGGCAGGACCCCAAAGCCAGCAGGACCCTTCCCCGGGCAGCCGCCCCAGCCAGGAGCCCGGCGGCGGGGCCCTCTCCACAACTCTACCAACCAGAG